AGACGCTGCTCTCCTCCGCCAGCCGCCGTCTCCGTGTCCTGGAGGCTGAGACCCAGGTGCCAGGAGCGCAGCCTTAGGGTGGCTCCCCGTCCTGCTCCTTCCTGTCAAGGGGCTGCCTCCTGTCCATCCCTACCCAGCATCAGGTGCGGGACCTGACAAGGCATCGTTCTTTTCCAGATCCTGACGGACTGGCAGGACAAGAAGGGTGACCGGCGGTTCCTGAAGTTGAGCAAGGACCACGATGTGGGCACCTCTGTCAAACACGGGAAGCCCAAGAAGCAGAAGTTGGAGGGCAAAGGGGGCCATGGGACTGGGCCTGGCCCCGGCCGGCCCAAGTCAAAGAACCTGCAACCCAAGATCCAGGAATACGAGTTCCAGGATGATCCCATTGATGTGCCCCGCATTCCCAAAAATGATGCTCCAAACAGGTGCGTGGTGTTGGGGGGCATTGGGATCATCAGTCTTCCTTGCAGCAGCCGGTGCGAGGGCTGCCTCCAGCCCGAGGGAACAGGTGTCCTGGAGAATGGGGGAAGCGTGTCAGCTCCTGTGGGCTCCCCTGCAGCTCTCCCTCACAGTTCATCCACCCTCGCAGGTTCTGGGCATCGGTGGAGCCCTACTGTGCGGATCTCACCAACGAGGAGGTCAGAGTTCTGGAGGAGCTGCTCAAGCCGCCAGAGGATGAGGCTGAGCATTACAAGGTGAAAAACTCCGGACCCCACCTGGAGCTCCCCTTGTCCCGGCCCCTACCCTCTCTCCCTGATCCCTCCCAGCCCTCAGCAGCTCTGTCCCCTCCCGCACCTCACGGTGAGCATTCCCACCTGGGGATGATGCTGTGGCACTGGGTGGGAGGGGAGGCAGGGGGCTCCGGGAGCTGTGCTGAGCCCGGCTCCTACAGATCCCGCCGCTGGGGAAGCATTACTCCCAGCGCTGGGCCCAGGAGGACCTGCTGGAGGAGCAGAAGGATGGAGCCCGCGCAGCGGCTGCTGCTGACAAGAAGAAAGGCGTCCTGGGGCCGCTGACTGAGTTGGACACCAAAGGTACCTCTATCCCCACCCACCTCTGTGCGGTGTGAGGAGCCCGGAGGGGCTGCGAGCACCCACGCACCGCAGAGCTGAGCCCCGGCCCCGTGCCCCAGGGGTAGAGGCTGCCCTGCCCTGCTGCTCACCTCTGTGTGTTTGGGGTTGTTTTTTTCCCCTTCATGCTTCCTCCCAGACGTCGATGCCCTGCTGAAGAAGTCGGAGGCCCAGCATGAGCAGCCGGAGGATGGCTGTCCCTTCGGGCCCCTGACGCAGCGTCTCCTGCAGGCTCTTGTGGAGGTGAGTGGGCTCCGCGGGGCTGTGCTGTGGCCTGGCCCCGTGGGGTACCACCACCGTGGTGGCCCTGTGTAGTGACCCTTCCCTCCTGCTCCCGTCACTAGGAGAACATCATCTCTCCGGTCGAGGACTCCTCCATTCCTGAGATCGCCGGCAAGGACTCGGGAGCCGACGGTGCTGGCACGTCTCCCCGCAGCCAGAACAAGCCCTTCAGGTGAGTGGCTGAGGTGGCCCCGGAGCTCGGTGCTGCCCACTGCAACACCAACACACTGGTGGCTTCCTTGCCTCGGCAAATCAGGGGCAGCAAAGGGTGTGTGGTGGGTAGCAGCTACTCTTCACCCCGGCAGTGTCCCCCACACCAAGTCGCTGGAGGGGCGGATCAAGGAGGAGCTGGTGGCCCAGGGCCTGCTGGAGTCGGAGGACCGGCCGGCTGAGGACTCGGAGGACGA